GATCCTTTGACCAAACGTGTGCTAAACAATTGTGATATCTCTTCTTCTGCCCTGGGTTATTCGCGTTTCCTGTATCATCTTATCATGCCTTCACTATTACAATTTTTACCGTGTTTATTAAGATATAGTGTGATGTGCTCCTTTGAGCGACATGACACCTCCACACTCCAACTGTCGTTCTCACCCCCCCCTTCATCCTTGTGAATGGAATGTTGATCAGAGTCTGCTTTATTATTATGCAGTCCTCTTTCCTAGTCTAATCCCAGTCTCTCTCTTGCTCTGTAAAATCGGTCTGCTCTACCCCTGGTTCACTTATTTCACTCGACTCCTGCCACCACATCTGTCCTACTCGAGGCGTTATTCGCCCTCCCCTGCGTCTGGGTGGCTAATTCGAGTGTCATGGTCACCCCTTTGCTTCACGTACCACGACTCTGGTACAGCAGACCTACAGATAGCCAACTAGCTCCGGTCCCCGCCGTCTCTATCCTGTTTCTATCCCTAATATCCTAGTCTCTGGTGTGCCAACCAACAAATGTTGTGGTATATCTTGTTTTGATTTGGTTCAATGTTGAACCACAACTTTTGTGGGTTGTTACACAAGAGATTGTTTGTTTTGACATCTCATATTACTGATTTACTGGTAGTCTCGAAAATCTAGTCAAACACGAAAAAAATAAAAATAAATAATTAAATATATATATTAGAGCCAGCAACTGGTTTCGGGAGCAACAGGTTGCCTCGAGACATATCCACCTAAAGTCGATTAAACAATGAATTCGAAGCTTGAATAATAAGGGCCTAGCAACAGATGAGAGTAGGAGACGTAATCCGAGTGATTCGACAGCAAAGGGCCTACCGAGGTCGCATATCGCCTGTCGGTGCTCGGGGTTAAAGGAGAGCCGCACAATTGCAGCCACCTCGGCAACCGGAGGCTGATGGAGGCGGTCTGAACTCTGACCGTCATCGGGGGAGCAGGCGAAGCTCGGGTTGTCGAGCAAGTCGAGAGCCGAGGTCACCGGAAGTACAGGCACCACATAATCGCTGGCCTCATGGACACGGATCAGTCGAGGCTCGACAAGGTTAGAGACGGTCTCAAAGGCAGCAGACACCCCCGACGTGTGCGACGTAACCGCATTCGCATCGACGTCCACATGCATATCCACATTCGCACTGCCAGCCACCCAGCTGGACGGATGCGAGGCGAGCCTGTCCGGGCGACCGGTTGCCGAGGCCCCCTGGAGTCTGGACAACCGACGCGCCCGCTGACGCCAAATTTGGCAAAGCTGCTGTGCCTGGCCAGCCGAGTAGGCTTGCAGTCGAGCCAGCAACCAAAGGATGGTGAGGTCGCGGTCGCAGAGCCCTTCTTCACCGCTTTGGTACACCGGCACGAGCAGGTAAAGAGCCTGAAAAAATGAGAGGTTTTGAGAGCAACCAACCAATCAGGATGGGACAGGGGTTCAAGATGATGTAGCCGAAAGACAAAATTGGGTTAGAATGCATGCCTTAGTGATTTATTTTGACATTGCTATAAATTTCGAAGAAGAAATTAGTGAAAAGAAATTTGCAAATTTGTGTCACTTGAAAGCAAAGGAGTGTCATGGAGCCGAAGAACTTCTTCAATTTCTGATGGGACCACTTAACTAATTTTCTCAAACCAACTTAGCTCTCGAAATTGAAAATCACGTCACACTGCGTAAATCAACAGGATGAATGATACTCTAGAGCGTCGCAACAATGAAGCGTAGACTACTGAATTGGGGGACACATCATTAGGCATTTTGTTTCCCAACCAAGGGGCTGGTTGCAGTCTCCTTTAGCTGTTAAGTCTTGATTTGATGTTTTGTTCGCAACTTGTTCGGAGCGACCGGGTGACCAGTGCACGAGTTAATACTGATTGATAAAGGGCAAGTCGATGCGAACAAAATTACCAACACTACTTAAAGAGGTCTACCGTAAATTAGTCTCTCTCTCATGCTGATAATTCAAACATTATGCAAGGTACCAATTCAAAATTCTCTAACCAAGGCTTCATCCAGTAGAAATTATTCATGTATTATTATTCCTTATTAAATGTACGCTATTTATTCTGGAAGCTTCTTTATGATTGCTTGTTCAAAATATTTGAAGCATCTGTTTGGCCTAATAAATATTGACAAAATATGTCTCCTTTAGGTATTTAGTGTTGGTTTGACCTCGTTTTCGCAGCTTGGTCGGAGCGATAGTCAAATGGAGTGAACCGTGACTAAGTAAACAGTAACTCAAATATTAAAAAACACTATTAACAACTTATATTTTGCTATCTCGCTATTTGAGCAATTCTTACCTAGACTCGAAAAAATCAAGCCAACCTCAGACCAAATACTCCACAACAATCATTTCCATTATCTCATTCCACAAATTTTCAACAATATCTAAGGCAAATTAGTTCCTGCAATGGCTAGTTTTATGAAGTTACCTATTATTTAGTCTAATTTGAATATGCCTATGGCTGATGTTTTTAATTAAAAAATATTTTAATCGCTAGGCCTAAAGAATAATCGGTAATTCAAGGCTCAAAACGAGCATAATACGTTTTTCGAAAGTATAAAGACCAAGATGGTGTAGGCTTTAGTGTGGTCGTAGTCTCCTTTTGTTGTATATAAGTAGTTTGACCTTGTTTTCGCAACTTGGTCATATAAGTAGGAAGACTTAGAGGAACGCACCTAGTCCGGAGTTTATTGTATGAATCATCATTTCCAGAGTAGGATTGTAGACGTGGTACATTCCTAGACATTTCGCCGACATCGCCAGTGAGTCTTGCCAGTCTTAGCACCCCACGACAACTCGTCAAAGAGACAAGTGAAGCCGATCTTTAGACCAAACGTGTGATAAACAGTTGTGGTATCTGCCCTTCTACCCTGGGCTATTCACATTTCATATATGCTCCTAACACACCCTTACTGTTACAATTATTTCTGTGCTTATTTCGATGTAGTGTGGTGTGCTCCTTCGAGCGGCATTCATGAAAACGCTTCATAATCCACACTGTCGTTCTCACCCTCTTCACCCTTGTGCTGGGAATGTTGATCCGAGCTGCCATATTGTTACGCAATTCTCCTTACCTAGGTCTTATCACAGTCTCTCTCTTGCCCCGTAAGATCCGTCTGCTCTCTCCCTGGTTCACGAATTTCACTCAACCCCTGCCACCCTATCTGTGCTACTCGTGGCGTTATTCGCCCTCCCCTGCGTCTGGGTGACTAATTCGAGGCTAAAGCCTTTGATTAAGTCTCATGGTCACGCCTTTGCCACATGGATCACGTCTCTTGTAAAACCTAATGTCAGCCAACTAGCTCCAATCGCCGCCGAGTTTATCCTGTCTCGACTGGAAATTGACCGAAGGGTTGGCTGCATGTGGTGAAAATACGAGAAAACGCAAGATCCGAGAGGCCATCGAAATACTGAGTAAGAGAAATTTAATGAACATGAGACTTGAAGAAGGCAGGATCAGCGAAAACTTTGCGTATTGCCTAAACAAACTAAAAGAGGACCAGGCAACAGCAAGATCAGCAAAAAGAAGACGATTGAATCAAGGTAATATTCTTAATTTTAGGAAAAGAGATCGCAGAGGGATGAGAAAGGAACAGTAAGAAGCAAAGAGGAGAAGTCTTCAGTGAGCCTAATCAAAACAAGTAGAACTACGACAATTGTGAGTTGGCAGACAAGAGACTAGGACGTAGGAAAT